CGATATTAAGAATAGGGATTCCATTAGTTGCTAAGTTAATACATGAAATGTTTCATACCTGTTTAGTGGGAATAATAGGTAACGTAGCGTCTTATTCGATAGAGCTAGTTTAGTAGCTTGACAGATGTATTTTATTTTAAGAGTTGTTATTGTCGTATTACTAAGTGTTGCATCATTATTTCATGCATGTAGATAACGAGTTGGTAGAGTTCATGCCTGCGTGCGGACAGGAGTACGAGGAGATCATTGAGAAGTACGAGGAGGAGATTCTCATATAGGAGGGAGCATCGGAGCCATCAGTTGCTGACTTTGTTGACACCCTGCCTGCCTAAGGCAAGCCCCGGTGCATACCCCTATTTTTGAATGATCATGGAATATATATATGTGATGTGCATTTACGCTACAGGCATTTTATGGAAACTACATGCATAGATATACTTACCTATGAGTCCTACTAGTATAGGTCGAGTAGCTGCTATGCTCAGGATTTCGGTAGCGTGAGTAACATGTCGTTACTCACAATAGGTGATTATTATGATCACTCATGATAAAATGGTGGAAAAAAAAATGGAGATCGGGCAGGGTTATGGTTTGGGTATTGGTGGGTGTAAGAGGTTGTGTCCTGTGGCCAACAGGGCATAGCTTGTTTACACTTTTTCTCTGTCTGTGTCGGTTAAGGACCGACCATTGTATTGGGTTCTAGGCAAGTCATAGACTTATTATCCCAAGCACATACTTGGGTATGGGCGCAGAGAAGACTTGTTGCTCTCTTGTCGTGGGTTCTGACTCTTTTCGGACCGACTGATTGGAGGCAGGGATGGTGGAGGCCTAAGCACCGCACTGAGTCCGGGACTTAAGAGCGGGGGCTTGGAGTCCAAGTTTGGACGGAGACCTAGACCGCATGACAGGAGAGTGATAGGTTGGTCCTTCTTGTGCCTAGGGTACAAGCGGGGCATGTGTTTTGAGGTACCTAGCTGGGCACATTGATTCGTGAATCGCCGGTGTTCTAGTACGGCTTGTCTATAGTCTAGCACCGTATTAAGAACTGAAAGATGAAAGGTGATGAAATGGAACTATTTTCTCAACTCTTACTTGAAAGTAGAACATGTGCTTACATAAAATGGCTAGATAATAAATTAATCATGACTGCTAATAATAACATAAATAAGTATTCACTATTAGTATTGCTTTCCGTAAAAAGGGAATCCAGCAAACCATAAAGCTTATCATATCCCTTAGAGTCAGAAAATTATTCCCACTAGTCGGATAAGTCTTACGAGTACATTGTGTATTCAGGGTTTATTTACCCCTGTTGCTGGTACTGCTTGAGGAGTTGCCGTTGTGTGAAGGATTCTTTTGGTGGGCACAGACGGATCCTTGTATATTATCGATAGATGTTTCTTTTCATTCCGCTGTTAAATTTTCACACTCTGAATTTGGTACTGTAATAATATATTTTCTGAGAACTCTAGATGTATGAAATGGACTAAGTAATGTAAACTCGTTCTAAAGATGTGTAAGGTTCAGTGGAATCGGTATATAGAAGATGAGGCTACTTGAGAAAGAGAAGAGGATCTGAGGAAAACATACCTGCAGCTTTTTGAGTAAGCATCGTCCGAATCTCGAGGACGAGATTCATTTTAAGGGGGTAGAATTGTAACACCCTAAAATTTGTAAGATTTTAAAATAGAAGAAAATAATTTAATTATGCATTTTGTGAGCATTTAAATTTAGAAAAATGATAACTTTGTTAAAATTAAAATCAATTATAAGGTATAGCTACATGTTTGTGCATTCATGCTGATGCATACTTATTTTTGTGATGTTTGGGTTTGATCAAAATTCCAAAAGGATTTAAATTTGATTTATATTTGGATTTGAAAATGAAATTGAAAAAAAGAACTCTTCCTCCTCCCTCTCTTCTGGCCTAGCTTTCCCGTGGCCCAGCAGCTGCTCAGCCCATCTTCCCGCAGCAGCCCAGTCCCCCGCGCCTCCGCTCTTCTCCCCCGCAATGGCCCAGCAGGCCGGCCCAACACCGCGTCGTCCGCTCCTTTCTCTCTTCGCGTCTCACTGATTGGTGTACTATTCTAATCTATAGTCTTTGTTTGCTATGCATGATTGCTTCTGGATGCTTGTATGTTGCTGTGATTATCGAGTATAGATGGTGAGCAATTTGTGGGTGATCAAGAGTACTACTTTGACGAGTAGGATCAGCAGGAACACTTTGTTCAAGGCAAGTTAGCATGGGATCATCCTTGTTACCTATTCACTTTAATATAAACAATCCATATTTCCATGTGTCACCTTGATAAGGATTTCCTAGAATTGAACTTATACCTTATCTCCTATAGGATATGCATTGGGTAGCCTTTGTCAGTGTTCAACTAAACCATAATCTTATTACTTGACTAATGGTATATGCAATAAACATTAAAACATGACTTTTTAGCAACTTGAAAAAAGGGGATAGAGTATTTAGCTACTTTCTAAATACTTCAGATTCCTCTCCCTAAGAACTTATCTATAAGTGATCATCCAGAACTTATAGTACAACTGTGAGAATCACATGGCTCTGGCTTTAGCTCAGTATGAGGACCTTTTCTAGCTTGTTAGTGGTTACCTTTATGACGCAAGAATGGATTGCCGAATCAGGTATAGTGCAGCATCTGTCCCCATGTGTATAGGCTGCGCATCATTGTGCCGTCGGGAAGGGGAGCTCTACATCTGTTTGTCGAGTGAATCTAGCGGACCTAACTTGTTAGATAAACCTTTGAAAGGCTTTATAGTGAATTCTACCGATCTTCCTTGGTAGTGGGTCAAGAGGCTAGCTACCTCGAGCGAAAGGATAAATCACGACTCACAGTGAAAGTGTACAACCTCTGCAGAGTGTAAAACTATTATAACAGCCGTGCTCACGGTCACGAGCGGCCTTGGGCACTTATGGAATAGATAATCACTATTAAGTAATTGTTTTTGCTATATATTACTCATGTTTGCATTGATCATGTATTTTACTTTAGGATTAAAACAACTTATTGCTATTCTTATGCTAAAATTGTGACAACTAAAAGCTAAATGTTGTTAAACCCATGTCAAGCCCTTTTGAGCCTTATGAACCCCATGTTACAATTGCTGAGTACGATATGTACTTACGTTTGTTTATTTTCATTATTTGGATAAAAATCCTAGATGGGTAAAAGATTGCGATGGTATTGATGACTTTTCTGAGGATTACTAGACTTGTGGTCAACCAGTTGATGTTCCTGTGATATGGAGCTTCTGCGAGAGAGTTTTTTTTATGCTTTCGCTATATTTATGTGAAGACTATGTCATATTAATCGTGATGTAATAAATACTTGTGATGATACTATCTATAATTTGTCGGCTTATGTGTGTGACTGATCTCTGGGCGCACATAAGATTATGCATTCTATTTTATCCTTAAAATCAGGTGTGACATCAACTGGGCTTGCTCGGCTAGAGTTGGAACTCCCGGTAGCTGTCGGGACTTCCGGCAGCCGAGACGATATATAATATGGCATCCTTTAGTTTAAAATTTTTCGTTGTAGCGGTAGATCTATGTGTTTCTGTGTTTAATTTATATCTGCACCTCTTGTTCTTCAATTGTGGTGAAATTTTTATGGTAGGCTACTTATTGTATGCTTGTGCTATGTTAAAAATTTCAGATTCAGTGGAGCATGTATGACTGAGTTATTGATTTACCTAGATTTATGCTTGTTTAATAGTTAATAAATCGTTAAAAAGGTGTAAAAATGGAAAATATTGTTCCATTGTCTTTTTATGATGTTGTTATGCATTGTGAATACTAAACACCGCCATGTTGTTACAGAAAATGTTGAGCTTTAGATTTATCTTTGCATCACATGCTTTTTTGCAATTAAAACATGTTTTTATTGATGTAATTAATATATTATTTCTGGGCATGTAAGTTTTTTGTAGTAGCTATGATTTATTATCATCTATCACCCATAAAAATCTCAGCTTCAAATTAAATGTTTGGTACACCACCAAATAATAATGGGCATGTTTTAACTAGTAATTAACTATTGAACAAGCATTAAATCAATAACTCAGCCATACAGGCTACACTGAAGTTGAAATTTTTAGCATAGCTCAAGCATACAATGAGTAGCATAACATAAAAATTTCACCACGATGGGAGCACAGGAGGTGCAGTTATGAATTAAATACAAAAACACATCGATCTACTTCTACAACAAAGATTTTAAACTAAAGCATGGCATATTATATATCTATTGCATAGAGTTACTCATGCGAAGTCTAAAAAAACTGGATTTTCCTTTTTACGATTTTTCTATGACATTAGTGGCTGAGTCCTATGTGGCCTGCTTTGGATGGCGGCTAGGTCCTGACAAAGTTCATGAACCCAGTTGAGTGAAAAAAAAAGTTCATAGACCTAAGTAATAAGTGGAGAAAAGTTTAAGACCCATGGGCCATGGCGCATTTCTTTTTTTTTTCTTAATAAAGGAGAGGAGAATGTTATTTGAAGCTGATCCCGTTCAAACTTCAAAGCATATCGCTGGTTCCGTACGTGAATGGCAACGGAACTTTATCTTAAACGCACATAAGCACACAAGAATTCACACCACACCACACACACACACGAGACACTAAAAGCCATAATCCAGCTACTACATGTCTATAAGCTTACATAATCTGTACCATCTTTGCATCTTTGGGCGGTATATTATTTTTCTTGTCTCGGGTCCGACGGTATATATTTGCTTCTAACTTGTATATATGCACAGGAAAAAAAATTGAACACCCAGCATTCTTCTTTTCTTTGGTCAAGAACCTGTCCAGTCCAATCACCAATCTGATCCTGGGCTGCAACAGATCCAGACGCTACCAACTGCAAAGTACACAGATCAGGTATGGAGAAAAAACAATACTGCTGATGCACCGAGGCAGCTTAAGGTGAAAGGTCCAATGGATGAGCTGGATTACGCAAGAGTGAGTCAGCATCGAAAACGGATGACAATGCATGAGATATCGTCCTTGCTCATCCTCCCTAGGGCCTTAGACGTCAATCGCTTCGCTGCTGTTTGCGGGTCCTTGGTTGACTTCACCAGATCAACAGCTTCTTGGTTTTTCATTACCTTCACCGAAAACACAGTAAAAGAGTGAACATAAACAAGGAGAAAAGAAATAATTAGGAGAAAATGATTCGAATTGGTATCAAAATCTTGAACTATATAGGGAAGGTGACAACGTAAAGTGAAATACGCATACCTTCCATAACCCGTCACTGGCAAGTATGACAAATTCTATGCTTGAGTTTATCTTTATATGCTTAACATCAGGTTCTGAGCTCAAGTGAGCTTTGAGGCTCTGATCACCAAATGCTCTTGCAACCGCAAGTTGGCCATTTACACGAGGAACGTCACCTATCAGCAACTAGAAAATGTATTGAGGCGGTTTACATGGCGATTGGATAGAACAATGACGAGAGAGTTAGGCAACTAGATGCTTACCGGGGAATGTAGAGACAAAACCACCTTGTTTTTCGATCCTCTTTCGTTCATTAGTAGTATGGGGTTCGTGATCAACAGTAAGCTGACTGGCAGTACCTCTTTCACACACAACAGCTCTTGAATCACCTATATTTGCAATCCACATGTCTGTACCATCAACTACAATAGCAGTAACGGCTGTTGAACCCCCTGGTCCTAGTTGCTTAGTATTTTCCAGAATATATTTGTTTGTAGAGCTGTATGCATTTTTAATTGCTTCTTGAGGGTCTGACCAAAATAGAGGCTGCAAACACCATAAAAGGGAATTGGATGAGTATCTTTGTAGAGGAAATAACATAAATTGGGATTCCATTAAAACGAAGCTTCAGTTGTAGATGGAGTACATCTCATGTTTTACACAGAAAGTATAGAACAAATGTAAAGCTTACCTCTTTCAGTATGTTGTCAAAAAGATTAGCTTTCAAATAACTGGCCACGCTATCTCCCAAATGTCCATCATAAATGGCAAAAAGACCAAGTTCGTGATCATTTTCATATCTATACTCTGCTACATGGTAGTCTTCCATATCATGGCAAGATCTTCCTTCCACTAAGTGAAATCCATGTGTTACTTTGTTGCTTGACAACTTGCTTTGCCCTTTTCCAGTATCAGAAGATGATGAACTGAGACACGCTGCGCTCTTTACAGTACATATAGAAATGGAAGAAAAAGAAGTTACAACAATAGATCTATTTAAAAAGCACTAGCACTTGTTAAAGCATTGACAGAACAATAAGAAAAGGATATTCAATCAAAATTATCACAAGGTTATTATTTACGATACAATGAAGTTTACAATGTCAAAAAGACTTGATGAAGCTGACTATTATAATTTGTATTTGAAATGGCAATGGTTGCGCCACCAATGTTTGTTGACACTTTTGTGGGGATTACGCAAGCAAGAAGAAGCAAGAAAACAAACACAAAGCGTGGCCAGAACCAGGCCGATTATGTATTTCCTTCCTCAGTTAGTTAGTCATTTGGTTTGTTCGCAATTCAGTTGGAGGATTATTTTTCTGTTTCCAGTTTGTTAGCACTGAGGGTTAAGCCTAGTGCTAAAACCTCAATGTATCTAGTTTACCTACTTAAGCTATTTACCATTCACTGTCTAGGCTAGTTACTATTCACTGTCTATCAGTTTTCAGATGCCTTAGCATCCAAGCTAGCATCTACTTTATGCAGTAGAATATGCTGTAGTAGTTGAGAACTTCTTGTATCCCAAGTTTGCTATCTCTATATAATGCAATCAAGCGGCCTGTGGCCAAGCTGCCCTCTGGCAAACCAAATTCCATTTGTCCAGTTAGTTACCTTTGCAACAATTGGTATCTAGAGCCAGGTTAGGTGAGAGCAGAGGCCATGTCCACCTCCAGCAAGCGCGCTCTGCGGAAGCCGGCAACAACGCCGGCGGAGGGGCGGTGATCAACCCCGGCGCCGATCGCGCTCAACGTCTGACCGCGGCAGAGGCCACAGCCACGTAGGCGATCGAGGCGGCCAGGCAGGCAGCGGCAGCAGCCCAGGCAGTGGCAAACACAGCTGCCGCGCTGCGCGTGGAGTTGGAGCGGCAGCCCAGAGAGCCATCGCGGAGCCCGGTGCGGCGCCGGATCCCTTCGCCGTCGCCGGAAGGCCGTCGCGGGTCACCTGCGGCCATCCAGACGGTGTACAAGGACTCCGGCTCGGGCACGCCGTGGCCGATGCTGACCAAGACCAACTACCACGAGTGGAGTCTGCTCATGAAGGTCAAGATGCAGGCGCGCCAGCTCTGGGACGCCATCGAGTACGGCGACCTCCCGTACCACGACGACCGGCGCGCGCTCGAGGCCATCATCGCCGGAGTACCACCGGAGATGGGCGCGCCGCTCACGGACAAGGAGTCCGCCAAGGAGGCCTGGGACTCCATCGCCGCGGCGCGCATCGGCGTCGACCGCGGCGCGCATCGGCGTCGACCGCGTTCGCCGCGCCACGCTGCAGCGACTGCGCAAGGAGTGGGAGAACCTTGCCTTCCGTCCCAATGAGCAGGTCGAGGACTTCGCCCTTTGTCTCTCCGCACTGAAGCAATAGATGGCCCGCCACGGTGACAAGGACCTCACGGAGGAGCGGGAGGTGGAGAAGCTATTTCGAGCTGCGCCGAAGAAGTACGCCCAGCTGAAGATCGCGATCGAGACCCTCCTCGACTTCTAGGACCCCACCATCGAGGAGGTCACCGAAAGGCTGAAGACTGTGGTTGCGTTCGGCTAACACGAAAATCCCTGTAGCGACTGGAAAAGTTACTGTTCATGGCTGAATCTGTGAGAGAAAAATACTGTTCCGGATGAAAAAAGAAGCGGATCAAGCCGGGTATGGTGTCAGTCGAACGCAACCTGTGGACGATCTCGAGGAGGAACCTCCGACCGAGCCGATCTCCGTTGGCAGGAAGCTCATGTACACCGAGGAGCAATGGATCGCTCGGCAGAAGGAAAAGAAGAAGGGAGGAGACGGCTCCGGCTCGTCCAGCTCGTCCAAGGAACACCGCCGACGTCCCCGCGGCGGCAGGAAGCAGAAGCCCAAGGGCGAACGTGGCGACCGTGGCGGCGGCGGGCAAGGAAACAAGGCTGGTGGCGCCGGCGGCGAACGCAAGGCAAACCGCGACGACACCTGCCTCAACCGCTACCGTGCCGGCCACTGGGCTTAGGACTGTCCTCAGCCTCGACGCGAGCGTGGCGGCGCAGCGTGGCGGCTCTGTTCCTCTCCCACGGCTTCCTGGAGCTGTAAACAGAGAGGACGTCCTCTGCTCCAAGGCCGACGCCAGCCTCGACATCGACGAGCCTAGAGCCCGTGTGTTCCTCAACACCGGCTCGGCGAGGACAAGTTGGATGGCTAGTATCTCAACAGCGGCGCCACCCACCACATGACCGGCCGTCGCGAGCACTTTTCCAACCTCGACACTTCAGTCCGTGGCTCGGTGTGGTTCGGCGATGTGTCAAGGGTAGAGATCCAAGGCGTCGGCTCGATCGTGTTCCAAGCCAAGATCGGCGAGCACCGAGTTCTTCACGGCGTCTACTTCATCCCGGCGCTGCGCAACTCCATCATGAGCCTCGGCCAGCTCGATGAAGGCGGGTCCAAGGTGGAGATCGACAAGGGCGTGCTTTGCATGTGGGATCGCCACGGGCGCCTCCTCGTCAAGGTGCACCGCGGGCCCAGCCGCCTCTATGTCCTCCATCTTGAGGCTGCGCAGCCGCTCTGCCTCGCCACAAGGAAGGATGACGAAGACTAGCGCTGGCACGAATGGTTCGGCCACCTCCACTTCAAGGCGCTGCACCAGCTCGGCAAGCAGGCCATGGTGCGCGGCATGCCGGTGATAAAGCATGTTGAGCAGCTCTACGACACCTGCGTCACGACGAAGCAGTGTCGGCGCCCCTTCCCTCATCAAACAGAGTATCGCGCGCAGGAGCAGCTGGAGCTAGTTCACGGCGACCTGTGTGGACCCGTGACGCCGGCGATTCCGGGCGGGCGACGCTACTTCCTCTTGCTGGTGGATGACGCGTCCCGCTTCATGTGGGCCGTCCTGCTGCCGTCCAAGGATGCTGCCGCGGACGCCATCAAGCGTGTCTAGGCAAAGGCGGAGAAGGAGAGCGGCCGCAAGCTCCGGGTGCTACGCACCGACAACGACGGCGAGTTCACCGTTGCGGAGTTCGCTGACTACTACACAGGAGAGGGCATCTAGCACCACTTCTCGGCGCCTCACTTGCCACAACAGAACGGCGTGGTGGAACGCCAGAATCAGACCGTGGTCGCCATGGCCCGGTCGCTGCTGAAGCAGAGGAGGATGCCGGCCAAGTATTGGAGGGAGGCGGTGATGATGGCAGTCCATCTGCTCAATCGCTCGCCGACTCGGAGCTTGCAGGGCAAGACCCCCTACGAGGCTTGGCACGGGCGGACGCCAGCGGTGAGCCATCTGAAGACGTCCGGCTGCGTCGCCTACACCAAGGAGTTGGGTCAGCTCCGCAAGCTCGATGACCGCGGCAAGCCCGGCGTCTTCATCAGGTACACGGAGGGAGCCAAAGCGTACCGCATCCTGGACCCGGTGACGCAGCGCGTGAAGATCAGCCACGATGTCATCTTCGACGAGGGGCGCGGCTGGGATTGGTCCACTCCGGACGCCGGCAGCTCGGCCTCGGCGGCAAGCGACTTCACCATCGAGTATTGGGTGCCTGGAGGAGCGGGGGGAGCACAAGGTGCCTCTCCGGTGGCAGCTGGAGCTACATCACCAGCACCACCACCCTCTGCGCCGCGCTCGCCGTCACCAAGTCCGAGGGAGCCCGGAGGGACATCGACGGCCGTGGCTACTTCCCCAGCACCCCTGTCGGCTTCACCAACACCTCCACCTGCGTCCCCTGCTGCCCCTACTGCTTCACCAGCTTCACCAGTGGCAGCAGCTGTGACCGGTGATCAAGTGGAGTTCGCCACTCCACTGGAGGATGATGAAGAGAGACTCGACGCCTACTACGACGACGAGCCCCTACGCTACCGCACGATGACCAACATCATCGGCGATCATCCCCCACCTCCACCGCCACAACGCCTCTTCGCCGAGCTGCACCTGACACATGCCGGCGAGCCTGCCAATTTCGCCGAGGCCAAGGACGATCCGGCATGGCGGGCGGCGATGGAGCAAGAGATCAAGGCCGTGGAGCAAAACCGCACCTAGGAGTTGGTGCCGCTGCCCATCGGCCACTGCCCCATCACCCTGAAATGGGTGTTCAAGCTCAAGAAAGATGAGCTCGGCGCGGTGATCAAGCACGAAGCAAGACTCGTGGCGCGCAGCTTCGTCCAGCAAGGAGTAGACTACGACAACGCGTTCGCTCCGGTGGCGCGCATGAAATCAGTCAGGTCCTCCTCACGCTGGCGGCTCAAGAAGGCTGGCGCGTCCACCATATGGATGTCAAATCCGCCTTCCTCAATGGCGACCTCAAGGAGGTGTACGTGCAGCAACCGCCCGGCTTCGCCGTCGCCGGAGAAGGAAAGGTCTACCGCCTCCGCAAGGCCGCCTATGGCCTGCAGCAGGCTCCGCGCGCCTGGAATGCCAAGCTGGATGCCACGCTCAAGGACATGGGCTTCCAGCAGAGCGCTCATGAGGCAGCGATGTACCGGCGTGGCAGCAGGCGTTCTGACCTGCTCGTCGGCGTCTACGTCGACAACCTCATCATCACCGGCGCGGAGGAACGTGAAGTGGAGGCGTTCAAGGCACAAATGAAGATCTTCGACATGAGTGACCTCGGCCTCCTCAGCTTCTATCTCGGCGTCGAGGTGCGCCAAGATGCCAGTGGCATCACCCTCCGTCAGACGCACTACGCCAAGCGAATCCTAGAGCTCAGCGGAATGCCTAGCTGCAACCTTGCCCATACTCCAATGGAGGAACGGCTGAGGCTCAGCAGGCACAGCACGGCGGAGGAGGTCAACCCCACGCACTACCGGCGCCTCATCGGCAGTCTGCGCTACATGGTGCACACTCGCCCTGATCTGGCATTCGCTGTTGGATTCGCCAGCCGGTTCATGGAGCGGCCTACGGGGGAGCATCAACAAGTTGTCAAGCGCATCCTTCGATATGTCGCTAGCACGCTCGACTTCGGTCTGCACTTCACCAAGGCGCCCGGCACCGCACGCTTCGTCAGCTACTGCAACAGCAACCTCGCCGGCGACATCGACACAAGCAAGAGCAAAAGCGGAACGCTGTTCTTCCTCGGCAACTGCTTGGTCAGCTGGCAATCCATCAAGCAGAAGGTGGTGGCACTTTCAAGCTGTGAAGCCGAGTACATTGCCACCACTACCGCTGCTACACAGGCTCTGTGGCTGTCAAAGTTGCTTGCAGAGCTTCTCAACAGGCATATCGAGGTGGTTGAGCTGAAGGTGGATAGCAAGTCAGCCCTCGCTCGGCAAAAATCCAGTCTTCCATGAGAGGAGCAAGCACATCAGGATCAAGTACCACTTCATCCGAAGTTGCCTGGAAGATGGAAGTATCAAGGCCAACCACATTCCAACCACTGATCAGCTTGCAGACATTCTCACTAAGTCTCTGGGCAAGGCCAAGTTTGAGGAGATGAGGGAGAGGATTGGCCTGAAGCAGATCACCTCCAAAGCTGAGCACAAGGCTAAGGGGGAGAAATGAAGGTTAAGCCTAGTGCTAATACCTCAATGTATCTAGTTTACCTACTTAAGCTATTTACCATTCACTGTCTAGGCTAGTTACTATTCACTGTTTAGCAGTTTTCAGATGCCTTAGCATCCAAGCTAGCATCTACTTTATGCAGTAGAATATGTTGTAGTAGTTGAGAACTTCTTCTATCCCAAGTTTGCTATCTCTATATAATGCAATCAAGCGGCTTGTGGCCAAGCTGCCCTCTGGCAGACCAAATTCCATTTGTCCAGTTAGTTACCTTTGCAACAAGCACAATATGTTGGGAGGCTGGCTCATTATAAGGAATTAAGGAGCATTGCAAGTTTAGTGAAGGCGTGCAAAGAATTATCCCTAAACTCCATTTAATCGGCAGTTCAGAGCCCAAAGTCGCCTCACCTCTTTGCTATCGTTCCTCTAGCTAGCCACTACGTATCACCTATCACCGCCACAGGCTTCCTCTGTCACTACTCTACCATTGTCACTGTAAAGTGAAAATTTGCTGTTTTCACCATTATAGCCCCACCAATCCACCACCCAAAACAGGTCTTCACTTCTATCATGCTGCAAAATTACAATCTTCATCATTATATCCTCATCACCATCTACCAGCAACAAAACCTCCATCTACCAGTCCTATCCAACCAGTCCCCCTACTCCGACCTCCCAGCAGTTGTTCAGACACTAATAAGGTCATCTTAGCTTGCTGCATCACTAGTTTTGGAGAAGGAGCTAGATGCAGTAGGCAGGAAAGGCAAATCATCAAAGATGTCATCCAAGGTAGGTCTGGTAATAGTTGGGCAAAATGGAAAATGGGAGCTGCAAGTTTCAGAATAGAAATAACTTTTAGTGCAATCCAACCTATTAAAGGTTCATGATATGACCAAAGGAATATGCCCAAAAATAAAGCACACAACTGGAGTACAAGTTTCATTCAATAATCAATACCCTGGAGAAAAAAGGACAATGGAGAAATGGTAGACATCGTTAAAAACAGATGGCCAAGTGGACATTTCCCTAGTTCCACTTGACAAGGAGATCACAACATAGACGCCCTAATCTCTACATACTTGTCATTCATCATAACCCTAACTAACATTTCGTGGCATTCATCATAATCCAATCATCCTATCATAACTAAATGAAATCCACACAGGCCCTTACCATTATGATACTTAGTGAGGTGCTACCTATGCATAGCACCAAAACTCAGAAAGGGCTATATTCCAGTTTCAACTTCAGAACCGCTTGTGGGTAGCAGAAAGTATAGAATTGGAACTAATAAAAAAACATAAATTTAGTGCTCCTGGGACTGAATAATCCACACCAAATGCTTTCTGAACCAAGCTCTCTCCCTATTGGGGTGCGGCCTGTGTGTAGTTGCTTAGCGTTCACTGCTAGTACTGCATCAGATGCAGGAAGTCCTGGACATGCTAAGTACTATTGCACACCTGGGCAAAAAGATCCCACTTGCATCCTGTATCAACTATTATCTAACCCTCTTCCTCTTCCACGGGCCTCATCTATCGCCAGGCACCAGGTTACTATTGATCCCCGCCCTACACTTGGAGCAATCAAATCCAAAGTTGCATCGTTTCCTGGACGCACCACTCGCTGGGAGCCCGCTCATAACCCAACCACGATTTTGAAAGCTAGTAGTACTATCCTAAATCGTTTTTTTTAAACTACTTTCCTAAATTAACAATCAGAACGCACAGTAACAGCAGGCCCGTCAAAGGTCCTCGTCCCACAGCGGCTGGACCAGCCAGCCAGACAGCCGGGCTCGCCGGCGCCGGGACGCAAAAGGGATAACAGAGACAAAGCTTGCGTTAGTTACCATGAGCATGTTGAGGATGTCGGGCTGCCTCTTGCTGCGGTGAACGCGGGGGGGCCCGGTCGAGGGGCCTGACGGCGACGACGAAGACGAGGACGAGGACGAGCAGGACGCCGGCTGGCTGTCCGCCGCCCGCCCGCCGCCGATCATGGCCGTGGCCGGCACCAGCGCAGCGCCGCCGCAAGCTGCACGGGTTGGGTCAGTCTCCTCGGTTTCCTCGTGTTCGCCCGGTCCCCCCACTGTTGGCTTTACGCGTCCGTGCTCGGGCCTGGTTTAGATTGCAAGTTTTTTTCTCTCTCTATCGTATCAAATTATTTCGATATTAAATGGTTTTTCGCTTAATTATACAGTTTCCGTTTGTAAATTATGAATCAAATTTTTGAGTCTAGTTAAATCATGATTGAATATAATTGTTAAATACAAACAAAAAATAATACAGATAAATTATATAGTTTAGACCTCGGTTTGGGCCGCGTTTAGTTCGCTGCCGGATTCACCGCCGGTTTTCCGGACACTTTTAAATCTGTTTAAGTTGTTTTTATTTGGTAATAATTGAATAATAATTGTCAAATCTAAACTGTCTGAAAGTTTTTAATTTCGTTAATATTTAGTACTCCATACATATACCACAAGTTTGATATGACGGGAAATCTTTTTTTTACATAGTGTCAAATTCTAAAATTTGAGGCAACTAAACATGGCCTTGCCTTGCTCTTGCTCCCGTGAATTTCATTTCCCCATTTCATTTTTTTCCCCTCCTTCATTCAGATGTCCTTGTGGTCAACGGGATGGGCACGCTTGGTGGCCGGCGCGAGCAACATCAAAACAATTAATTTCGCAAAGACATCATCTTTTATGATTCATGTGGTTTTTTTATTCTATATATAATAATCTTTACATTGGGTGGATCTTGGTCTTTGGTTTAAGTTGACCGGTCTTTGGTTTGGGGTGAGAGGAAAACACTATTATTACTAGTTTGGTTTTGGGTGTTTCAAGTTATAATTTCATTATACTATCTTGCTCCCTCCATTTCAAATTATAATTCGCTCTGACATTTTTAGATAGAATTTGCTAAATATCTAAATATATATTATATCTAGATGTATAGTAAAATAAATATTAAAAAAAATCAAAATAATTTATAATTTAGAAACTGAGAGAGCATAAGATATCGATAATAACAATTATTAAGACGTCCGGATGGATGAACGCCTCACTCTACTCACTCCCGCACCCAAAAAAATATCTTATCCCTCGCTTGCTCCTCTCCGTCCTTATCCCTTCCGTGCTTGTGCCCTACCCACCCTGATGCGCGGCCATGGTTGCCTCCCTGGTCAGCATTGGCATCCTCACCCACCCCGGTGTCCTCACCCACCGAGGGGCGTCCAACGCCCGCGAATCCAGTGGCACTCTCCCCCACCCCGACAAGATCCATGGGGCATGAGCGAGATCCATGGTAGTGCCACGGCGGTATTGCAGGGAGAGTCGGCGGCTCTCACCCACCCCGCGCGCGGCACCCTCTCTCTCTCACCCCGACGACCGAGCTCCCCCCACCCCGGCGCCCATGGCGCTCCCCATCCTCCACCATCGTCGCCGAGCCAAGCCCGGTGTCGTTAACGCTGCGCTGGTGGTGGGGTGGTGCTCATGTGCGTCGCTGGTGCTGGGTGGTGCTCGCGCGCAGCCGCTCGTCGTCGGCTCCTACCCCATCGACCGAAATTGACCAGCCCACGGCTCTCTCCCCCTATGTTGCAAATGTACATTTCAATTGTTTAAGACGTTTCAGCGGCATGTTGCAATCATTTCATATGGATATTGCAAAAGTAGATCGGGAGATGTTGCATATGTTGCAAGTGTTTCAGAGGCATGTTGCAAGCGTTTGTTCGAACTTTTTCATTTGCTTCTAGACATATGTTGCAAGCATTTTGATTTGAATGTTGCATATGTGTTTGTTGCAACAGTATGTTCCAAAATGTGTCATCTGTTTCGGTCTTCTGTGCAGCAAGTGTTTTCATGTTGCAAGTTGCACGTGTTCTATCTAGATGTTGCATATATTTTCACACATATATTACAAGTGTATGTTCTAAATGTTTCACCTGTTTTAGACGTATGTTGCAAGTGTTTTATCTGGATGTTGCAGTGTCCATACACGTATGTTGCAAGCGTATGTTGTAAATGTTTCATCTATTTCAAATGTATGTTGCAGCAAATGTTTTACGTTGCAAGTGTTTCATCAACTAGCGCGGCTAAGGGGAACAGGCAGAGGTGGTCCCCTCGGGCGTAGCGGTCCCCACGTGCGCGCGAGAAGCCAAGTGGGCGTGACAGTAGGCGCGGAGCACAAAGTTGTATCCATGGACGTGGCAGCAGGCGTGGAGCACAAAGCTGCATCCATGCTCGGCTCTCTCTCTCTCTCTCTCCTTATTCCAGATTGATGCGGTCGGTCAGCAGTAGCATCACGCGCCAGCAGCAGCATGCGGGTAGCAAGAGTGCGCGGCCAGGCATGGGCCGTCGCTGCTGCTCCTGATGGCAGCGGGCGCGATAATCCCCCCCACAAGTGTGCACGGTCAAATAGGGACCCAGGGATAGAGGCATGGGGAAGGAGCACGCACAGGCACATCAATCTAGCAAATTATAATAGTGGGCAGCAAGCGCGAGGCAGCAGCATCACGTCCCGTGGAGGCGGGGGCAGCAGGTGCGGGGCGTCCGGACGCGCTGCTGGCGCCAGATGCCCGGGCGCTAGACGTCCCCCTAAGTATATCGTCATAGCGGAAAAGGTTTTATGCGTGATGATAGAGACCAGGAAATCCAACATTATTGGTGGAATATTGATCAGCCCCACATGTTATTGGTTGGAAGGAACGCGAACAAAGAAAAAAGTTTCATCATATCTATTTTGGGCCTTTTAAATTAATCTAAATCATTAGATGATCATAAAATCTAACTGCGTAGGTGAATCCTGGTTAACTAGGAACGCTTCAGGCCCACCTGTTATTAGATGGAACCGTGGAAGGGACGATATATGAAAGAATAACTCTTGATTCTAATATCTATCTATAATAATAATAAAAGAATATAAGTTTGAGGGGTCACGTCACGGTTACAGTACCCGACCCACTAAGGAACAGTACCAACCTTTTTCTGTTTTTTTCATTCACTGTTGCCCGCGCGAAGCGCGGGGTTACCTGCTAGTTATATATAAATTTAAACGAAAGGCAATCAACAAACCTAGTGTTATGTGGAAGTATACCGAAAACATTAAACATGTTGCTCAATGAAAAGTAGCCTCGAAATTAAATACCGTACATGACACGCTATGCGGTCGGTACTTATTTTTCATTTGCTTGGCATCTTTGCAAATTAATTAAGGAGGCACACACATAAACACAATAAAATACATGTGTTCCGGCAGAAGTTACCCATCTTGCCAACTTATTAGGCCTTGGATTTTATAGTATACAAAGTTTAGCTAGTTGTTAATAATAACGTGTCTGTGTGTTGCACTTGCACCGGGACGTACCGATCATTGCACAATCACACGGACAATTTGTGTCAAAGATTTATTCGATGAACGTGTCATTTGTTCGAATATGTCTTAGAATCAGACTCTATCATAGTTGGATGCGCGTTTTTCTAATTCATATGAGTATAGAGCGTGAGTCCACGTCGCAAACTAGATAGAGAGAGGTGCAAGGAATTATGAGAAATGAAAAAAAAAGATTGGAAGAATCCACTTGTTACGATGAGACTTTATACCATCGCTGGACGCTCACTGTTATAATTTATGAGTACCAGTCATGAGTCTAGATAAACTAGATAGAAAGAGGTCGAAATGAAAAAGGAAGGATAGGAAGAATCCACTTTTGACTTTAATATAAGAGTAAATTGCACGGATCGATTCTTAAAGTATTGGACGGATTTTATCTGGGTCACCAAACTACGAAATCGTACTTTTAGCTCCTTAATGTATTTAAGTGATCTCATCTAGATCCAAAATAGATTAGATGATGGTTAAAAGCTGACGTGGCTATCCACGATGATGGTTATAAGCTGACATGGCTGTCCACTTTCCCTTTGCCCGGTTGAGCTCGGCCGACCTCGCCGCCGGCGTGGCCGGGAGCGCGAAGGCCTGGTGGTCCCGGTCGACCTCGCCGAAGAAGGGGCTCGTGGGTACCGGTGGTCCCGCGTCGAGCCAAACAATGGCGCCGAACGAAGGGGCTCGTGGGGGACTACGTGGATGGATACATTTGCCGCACGCGCCATCGTCGTCGGACATGATGCCACCGCCGGGCCAAACAATGCGGCGTCGTGCATCCGTGGTTTGAGCGTTGGCGCCGTCGCGGTGAGGGCAAGATCGCCGCGAGATCTCGGCGTCGTCGCCGCCGGCGCCGTCGTCTCCATCCGTGGCGCTATGAGCACGCCACGCCAGCGTCTCCACCCACGGCTCACGCGTCATCTCACGGACATGATGCCACGAGGTCCTGCCGGTGATGCGCTCGAGCTAGGCTCCGCGATGGGTGCGAGGTCCCTCGGCCACACGCGAGCGAGGTCCCACCGACTGTCATGACGATCCACGACGAGTTTGGCGTGCGCCCTCTTTCTCCTCAACCACCTCCCGGACCTCAATGACGGATGGCGCCGCGGACTGTGGTGGTGAAGGAGTCCGACCCGAGCGACACTGCCCGTTGAAAGGTCCTTGTTGGTTTTGGTAATTGATGACAACCTAGGTGGACTAATTGTGTTTATGTGAGATACTAGGATTAGTCCACAAGTAGTACATGTGTGCAACATATGCCATGAAGGTGAAAATGGCTTAGAGATGTTGCAAAGCTCACACACGTGATGATGAAGGAGCTTATTGCATGAGACATGGCATTGAGTCATGTGATCAAGGTGAGAAGATCAAGACAAGACTTGGCTTGATGGACGTTCCACCGTGAAGGCCAAGTCGAAGGCTTTGGGTGATGGACCGGTGGCGGTGAAGCTTGAGCAAGACTTGGCGCCCGATGGACGATGGCAGCGGTGAAGGGCAAGTGAAGTCAAGATCGATGAACCAATATGATCACGCGATGATATGAAGTGGATCATATCATTGTTGATAGTGTTGGTGCATGTGTTGCATCGACATTGGAGAGATGGAATGGAATGCGCAAGGC